TGAACTTGCTGCCGCTAATGACTGTAACTTTCAACCACCAGCTGATGCAGCAGACTTAGCGGAACGCCTGCAACAAAGCTTCACCAAACCTTGGCAGAATGCCAACCCCACTGAAATTCCGGACGTTGGGGAAATTGAACACCTACTTAAGAATGATACCAGTCCCCTGTTGCCTTCCATCGGACAAATTAAGGCTACCCTTAAACATCTAAATCCCAGGAAGGCCACTGGCTCAGATGAGATCCCTCCATGGTTACTGAAACGTTACCATGAAGAACTTGCCCCTGTTATTCATAACATCATATGCTCTAGCATCTCTCAGGCTAAATACCCAACTCTATATAAACACGCATTGGTCACCCCAGTGCCTAAAATATACCCTCCTAATGACATGGATAATGATTTTCGCCAAATCTCAGTATTACCGCAATTGGCTAAAGTCTTAGAAAGCATCCAACTTAAATTAAACAAAGGGGACCTTAAGATCAAGGACAATCAACATGCATTTACACACGGTAGAGCAACTGTATCTGCACTGGCGAGCATCACCCAAAATTGGTTCAACAAGACTGAAAACTCACGTGATGGAAGAATGGGTATCCACGCCCTATTTATTGACTTTTGCAAAGCATTTGATCTGGTGGACCACGGATTGCTTTTAAGGAAGCTCGTCAAAATGAACGTGTCGAAAAGCTTCTGGCTATGGGCACGGAGCTTTCTAGAAGGGAGGAGTCAGCAAGTAAAATTACAAGGTGCTCTGTCACCTATAAGGCCTTGCCCTTCCGGAGTCCCCCAGGGATCTGTTATATCACCAACATTGTTTAATGTTCATGTGGATGACCTCGAAGACTGCATTCCCAATTATGTGGACATCAATACGCACATATACGCAGATGACTGAACTCAAGATGAAGTGATTCCATACGGTTCTACTAGCAACATGCAAAAGGTGCTCGATGCAATAAACGACTGGGCACATAGAAACAAGATGAAACTTAACGCGAAAAAGACGAAAGACATGTGGATCTGCTTTAAAGCTGCAATTCCGGAATCAAATTGGCGATGATACAATTGAAAGAGTAAAGTCATTCAAGTTGCTAGGTCTTTGGATTGACAATACCCTTAAATGGAACACCCACATTGACGAAATTGCAAGGAGGGCAAACAAACGCTTATTCTACCTACGAGAGTGTCGTCAAGCAGATCTACCAACTAATGTGGGTTTGACGTGCTATGAATCCAAATTAAGACCGGTTTTGGAATATGCTGCCCCAATTTGGGGTGGCCTGCTACAATACCTTACTGACGAACTGGAGAGTATCCAGAATAGAAGCCTGAAAATTTTGGGTCTACCTTCTGATTCTCCTCAATCTCTAGAACAACGTCGGGATAAACTTTCAATTCGCGAGTACGAGAAAATCATTAATGACGAAACACATCCATGCAGGAAGTACATACCAGACATGGTGACGAACAAGTATGACCTAAGAACACCAAAAACTCTTCCCGGAATTTTCTCATACACTAAAAGGCATGAACTATCGTTCATTCCCAGAACAAACTCATTATTATAGACAATATTTTTATAACTATTCCTACAATTTTTATCTGTACATATAACTACTAGACTACTACTTAGATTTTTACTGTAAATCCATTGTATTTTTACACTAAAGATGGATCAATAAAACTATTATTATTATTATCTTTTGTGACATTTAAAGCGACTAAAAGCATTTTTCAGTTTAAATAGCACAATTATTTCATACTTGTTAAAATAGTGCCTGTATGCATAGCCCAGTAATCCCTTAAAAATGTATAAACCAAAACCAAAGACGAATTAATTAATTTCTTGAAAAATATCTTTTCGTACAAACAAGCGTACATACTTGCTCATTTTCTAATACGAGAGTCAAACACTTTGGAAGCTTTCACATCGTGGTTGAGATCAGTTTTTTTTTGTCTGCTTATAGGAAGAGACACCTTAAATAACAACTGAGATCAGTGGCCTGTCCTATCATTTCTTTTTACAAATAATATAATTAAATAATTACTATAAAATAAAAAAATTATTAAATAAAATAATTGGAAATTGTTATTAATTATAATAATTAATTAATATTAATAATTAATCAATTATTAATTGTTATTATTATTTCTAGTTATTATTATTTTTATTCATTATTTAACAAAATAATTATCTTACTTTCCTTATTTATTGTTTTATTTTGTTAGAAACTGTAAAATAAATGATAGGTCAGACCACTGGTCTCTGTTGCTATTAATTAAATTAAAGAAGTCTCTTGTTATATGAAGATGCCAGGAGAGTTTCGCTAAAACATAACGATTGTGGAGTAGAATCTTGTTCTTCGGATGTAATGGATTGAGATTTATTTTTTTCATTAGATTTGTTAGGAGATTAGTTCCAGTTTGTGTTCATTATCGGTCATAATAATAATAATAGTAATAATAATAATAATAATAATAATAATAATAATAATAATAATAATAATAATAATAATAATAATAATAATAATAATAATAATAATAATAATAATAATAATAATAATAATAATAATAATAATTTATTGACAAATAATTATTATAATAGACTATTGATAAATATACTCTAAAAATATAGAAAATGTTCCAAATTGTTCTATAAACTGGCTAAAAATTTCTCGAATATCTCGTTTCTATTACTTAAAATGTCAAATATTTATTATGATCAACAAATTAATGTTTAAGAACGGCTCAGTAAGTTACTCTCGACAACTTCTGTATCAATTCCCAAATCAGCTCGATGGCGTCGTTGTCCTCTTGATCCTCTAATGCATGATATTGCAGATCTCATCAAAGTGAAAGAGATATGGCACCGCATCCACGCTAAAGTAGTGTCATATGAGGACTAATTCAGTTTGTTTGCAAGGAGATCAGCAAGCCTCTTATAGACAACAGTAGTTTCTCTGCTAGTACCTCCTGTCGTTGAGAAGACCAGCTGTGTAAAAGAACTGTTTTCCACCTCTCTCACGCGCTCACCATATTCTCTTTTCTTATCCAACTCATGTTTTCGGAATAAAGCAGCAACACTGGTGTTATGCGATAACTTGGCGCGTTTGGGTGGAAAATCAGAACATCACAGAATGCGCTTTGTTGTCGTCCCCAGAAACCGATGGTCTTAATATCAACTCGGGCGTCATCTTGCTTGTTTGCAGATCGAGGTAGAATAATTTCTCCTGTAAGGGGCTCTAGTTGCGGTTCAGTTTCTGTCTCTCTACAAACTTCATTTAACCAACCTGCTGTTAGATCCCGGATTTCATTATGCCGAGCTATTGTCATACCTCCATGATTACAGATCATGGCATGATCAGTCAAAAACCCTTTTCCGCATATGCAGTACTGGGGAAGATTTCTGAGCTGCCAATCATATCTGAGACATAAGGCGTCGCGAAATTTGCCTTTGTTTAAGCTAAATCCATGATCTTTCAGAGGTAGCGCAGATAACCATGATGATGAACCTTTTTCCTTCAGTAAATCCATGATCCGTTGCTTTTGTGGTGACAAAGTTTTCCGAACATCGGAGGCTAACTGTTGGTGGTATTCATTCTTTTGTCGTAGTAGCTCTGCCTTTATTTCATGTACTTGTAGTCTTTCATAAGTCGTTATTTGGCTTACAGTCATCTTCTTTAACGGTTCGGTGAGCTTCAACGATGCATCGTGTTGAATTTCGGCAAGATCAACAGGGTTAGGAAGATTGAGACCGCTATGACGTGTTGGCAGGGACAGCAGTGATCTTTCCTCGTTGGAGCAAGATTCTCTGCCGGTTAAAGCTGGAATAAAGTTGTTTGCAATTCTGTTCTCCAATACTTGAAACATTTCACCAACATCACAAACTGTCCGCATTAGATATTGCCATTTCCCAATAATTACGCGGGAAAGTGCAGTATATGCAGCGTGAGGTTATGATTCAGCTATCGTAGATAACGTCATGATTTCTTCATCCCATTCTTTTATCTTGTCTGCCACATATCCTTCCACGAAAAGACGTTTACCACATGCAGCACCAAGCATTTTATGACCATCAGTAGTGATTGTAATTCCAGTGTTTTCAAATAGTTCCTTTGCTCGATCAAGGCATTCTTCTTTTACAACCATAGTTGTCTTGCTAGGTTTTGGAAAATAGCCATATTCAGGGCCGATATCAGCTAAATGTTGCCGCCAGTCCTTAAGCGCTTCGAGACTTCCTGCAGCATTGGAATTATCCGCGAACCACACCTGACTTGCATTTAGTGCTTTCTCATTTAAGCTGTTAATCAGAGGACTAATAGCTAATGCATACATTGCTATCGCTAACGGATCCCCTTGTGTCGTTCCTTCCATTGATGAAATTTCACCTCCTCCTGTCACAAACATTCTAACTGGGGCCTTATAGGTATTGTTTAACATTGTCGATATCGCTGGACAAGTGGCGTGGATGTTATGTAGCGCTTCGTTACGATTTAGAGTGTTAAAGGCATTAGTAGCATCAACAAGAAGCATTCCTTCAGTGTCTTCTGAATCCCATATATGATTTAGAGCATGGAACAGCTGCTTCAAAGCCTGCCTCGAAACCGGCGCATACATTGCTATCGCTAACGGATCCCCTTGTGTCGTTTCTTCCATTGATGAAATTTCACCTCCTCCTGTCACAAACATTCTAACTGGGGCCTTATAGGTATTGTTTAACATTGTCGATATCGCTGGACAAGTGGCGTGGATGTTATGTAGCGCTTCGTTACGATTTAGAGTGTTAAAGGCATTAGTAGCATCAACAAGAAGCATTCCTTCAGTGTCTTCTGAATCCCATATATGATTTAGAGCATGGAACAGCTGCTTCAAAGCCTGCCTCGAAACCGGCGCATACATTGCTATCGCTAACGGATCCCCTTGTGTCGTTTCTTCCATTGATGAAATTTCACCTCCTCCTGTCACAAACATTCTAACTGGGGCCTTATAGGTATTGTTTAACATTGTCGATATCGCTGGACAAGTGGCGTGGATGTTATGTAGCGCTTCGTTACGATTTAGAGTGTTAAAGGCATTAGTAGCATCAACAAGAAGCATTCCTTCAGTGTCTTCTGAATCCCATATATGATTTAGAGCATGGAACAGCTGCTTCAAAGCCTGCCTCGAAACCGGCGCATACATTGCTATCGCTAACGGATCCCCTTGTGTCGTTTCTTCCATTGATGAAATTTCACCTCCTCCTGTCACAAACATTCTAACTGGGGCCTTATAGGTATTGTTTAACATTGTCGATATCGCTGGACAAGTGGCGTGGATGTTATGTAGCGCTTCGTTACGATTTAGAGTGTTAAAGGCATTACTAGCATCAACAAGAAGCATTCCTTCAGTGTCTTCTGAATCCCATATATGATTTAGAGCATGAACAGCTGCTTCAAAGCCTGCCTCGAAACCGCCACATGTTTGCAAAGGACCCACCCTTCTTTGACATCGTCTCGAACCACTCTAAGTATTGCCTTGACTATAATACGCCTGGGCATTTCGCCTATGCCGATGGGGCGTATTCCAGGATATTTATCCAATGGAATGAGCCTATATGCCACGAAAGCTGACGAACCTTCGGGGAGAACTGACTTGGTGCACAACCGTCTAGCGACTCCTGCAAGTGCATTACACAAGTCCGACGAGGCCGTTTTATATGACAAGCAAAAGCGACGCCATAGATGTGCATCAACGCCTGACGGACCAGCGGAGCCCTGGATCTTATTAGCTGCATCTCTAATTGTTTCACCGGTAATTCTGTTATATAGGATTGGATCAAAATAACTCTGCTTCGTATCTTGCAAAAGTATATTAACGCTAGGCGTCCGTCCGTGCGGACGCTTATCCAAAAGAATTTCTTTAGTTGATTTCCATTGTGTGTTACCTTCATCGTCTATACCAACTGGGAGCAGAGTCGAGAGGCAAGAGGCCTCGGCGATTTGCATTGGAGAGTAAATTAACGGCTTGACGAACTTTCCCTTCTAACATTAAGCGATTAAAGCCCTTTGCGATGTTTTGAATTTCGGCTTGCGGTGTAGAATAAGGCGACGATGACATATGGTTCTGGATGCATTTATCTTCTGAAATCAATTCTTTAAATCTGCCTTCTGACCATAAATTCAGTCTACGCTCCAGGCAAACAACATGCTCTTTACTCCTACTCTTCGCGTGAGGTTTTTGTAAGAAGAAGAAGAAGAAGAAGAAGAAGAAGAAGAAGAAGAAGAAGAAGAAGAAGAAGAAGAAGAAGAAGAAGAAGAAGAAGAAGAAGAAGAAGAAGAAGAAGAAGAAGAAGAAGAAGAAGAAGAAGAAGAA